GGCAGGTCCACCCTGTCAAGTCTTTTAACTTTTGTGAAGGAGATGGGAGTGACTGCTGCATGGGTCTGGGGTTTCATTTGGCGTGATGAGAAAGTTCTGGAACTAGATGGTGGTGATGGTTGCACCACGTGGTGCAGGATAATGCTGCTGAAATGTACACTCTAAAATGGTTAAATTGGCACATTTTATGTTATGTGTATTTTATCGCAATAAAAAAATAGGAAAAAGGGAGAAGAGGTAAAGTGGAAACATGTATAAATCTGTCCTCCCTGATGCAGAAGAAGGTCAAAGCGAACCCAAACTCTGAGCTGCTTTCATGTTTTGATTTCCGTGACGATGTAAATGGTGGGACAGAGGAGGATTGTTCACTTGCTTTTTCTCTGGAATCTCACAGAATGGGTGGGTGGGCTCCTGGGCCCCTTACCATTCAGGTAAGGTCAGAACTGGATTTTCCATGGCCACTGGCATCAGCCACTGGGTGGCACAGTTGTGGCTTCCTGTGACCGCCCGAGGACCAGAAAGTTCCTGCTGGCACCTGAAAATGCAGCTTTGGCCAGGACGTCTCAGCCTCCCCTCCCTGGGAGCCCAGGGTCCTGGTTTGCAGAAGAGGCCAAAAGCTTACAGCAGCGGTGGACATCTTCTCACCTGCAGCTCTCTGTTTAGGTCAACACAGAGCGATTTGAGATGGAGAGTCGAGGGGTGAACCACGTCGAGGGGGGCTGGCCCAAGGACGTGAACCCCCTGGAGCTGGAGCAGACGATCCGCTTCCGGAAGAAAGTGGAGAAGGACGAGAACTACATCAACACCGTCATGCAGCTCGGCGTGGTATGGCCGCCCCAGCTCCACTGGTCACTCCAGTTCCCCAGGGGCTGCCAAGCTCCAGCTGTGCCTGGCCCCGCAGGGCTCGTGTGGCTCCTTGGGGGAAGGAGACTGGCTGCTGACCCCAAGGAGCCTTCTGTCTGGAAGCAAGCACAGGGGTCCCTGCAGCAGACCAAGGGGTAAGGAGGGAGGTATGAGGGCTGAATAGGCTTTATTTTAGGAGGAGTCTGCAAAGTGGGGAACCCCTTCAGCAAAGAAGACCCCAACCAGCAGCCAATAGGGATCATTCATTCATTCAGCAAGTTTGGACGGAGCTTCAAGTCTCTGCCAGGCACGATAGAGGTTGCAAACATGAATCTCACATCCGTCCTGCACAGAGTTTACAATTCACTGGAGGTCAAAGACAAATACAAAGACATCACCACATAACATAGAAACAGAGAAGCTGTAAGATAAGGGGACACTTGTCATTTTGTCCTGTAAGGAGGGAGACTAGATTTCCTGCTGAAGGGACCAGGGAAGGCTTCCTGGAAGAGGTGGCAGTTGCGCTTGGGCTCTCCCTTGCTGCACATTTACAATAATGGGGAAGACATTCAGAGTGGAGGAACCAGGTGTCTGCAAGGATAGGAAGCAGGAGATGGGTGTCATACATATGGGGTAGTTAATAATTCTGTTTGGGGCCTGGCTGGTTAGCTCAGTTGGTTAGAGCGTGGTGCTGATAACACCAAGGTCCAGGCCAGCCGCAAAAAAAAAAAAGTCTATTTAGCTAGAGCAGCATTTTTCCACCTTTTTTTCCATTATTGTCCCTCCCCCAAGAGCCTTTTTAGACATGTTTTTCCTAATCACTGCCTCCACCTGAAATTGTGATGCCACAGGTACAGTGTGCATCTGTTTATGTGCTGTACATATATCTGTGCTTTGTACATAACAAGGAATATTATTTTATCCAATTTTCATCCCTTTGGTGGTGATATTGCCCCCATGGAAAATGCATGGGCTAAAGGACAGGAAACGACCATTAGATAGTTCCTGTCCCTCCCAGNGATGTCCTGCAGAGAAATGCTCCCTATCCTGGGGACAGGTCTGGTTGTTGGAAAGGGAGGACAGACTCCAGGGAAACATGAAGCAAATTTGTCAAGCTGTGTACAAGTGATGTCAATTCCTGCAATGTGGGGTAAGTACAAAATACGGTACGAAAAGTGACGCCATGGTGTTGTGGGCCACCAGACTGTGCAAGTGATGTCAATTCCTGCAATGTAGGGTAAGTACAAAATATCGTACGAAAAGTGACGCCATGGCGTTGTGGGCCACCAGACTGTGCAAGTGATGTCAATTCCTGCAATGTAGGGTAAGTACAAAATACCGTACGAAAGTGACGCCATGGCATTGTGGGCCACCAGACCCCATCCTGCACTCGTGGGAGGGTGTCTGGGAATAACCTCGAGGGACGGCTGCTTGGGAGCAGGATTTATCCCACAGATGCATGTGTGTGAACTCACCATATGTACGGATGGTCACGGCAGCAGGGTGTGTGCCAGCTAGATTGAAACAAGCTAAATCCATCTGTGGGGACTGCTGCTGACAATCCTGGTTCTCCCGCACAATGGAAAGCCACGCAGCTGTCAAAATGAATGGGGCGGCTCCTTATGTGCCGATATGGCGTGATTTCCAAGATTTATCATGAAAACCGAACCAAAACAAACTGGGTGCAGAACAGTGTGTGGAGAGAGTACTACTCTTTATTTATTCGATTTTTTTTTTCCAGCTGGCGGGTGCAGGGATTCGAACCCTTGATGTTGGTGTTCCCAATACCATGCTCTAACTAAGTGAGCTAACTGGGCTGCCCTGCTTTGGGTTTAAAATGTACATGTGTATATACATATGTATGCATAAGTTTTCAACTCATTCGGGCAAGTACCAAGGAGAATGACAGCTGGATTCCCCTCCCATTTTCATTTTAATAGGGATAGAAAATCAGGCTCAGGCTCAAAACTTTCAGCAGGTGAACGTGTCAGACTAGAATTTAATGTTTTTGTTTCCATTGTTTTCATTTTTATTATTGCCTTCTATTTATGAGCGGTGAGATTGGTTTTCCATTTATGGGAGTCTTGTAAACTTTGTTTTTAGTTTGTTGTATTTTTGGCACCTGGCCAGTGAGGGGATCGAACCCCCTGACTTTGGTGTTATCAGCACTGTGTTCTGACCAAATGAGCTAACCAAGGCCGGCCCCTAAACTTTGTTTTTAAAATAGATTAGATTTCTCTGAGTGTGATTGTTTGAATATTTTTGTTTTTTGTTTTTGTGGCTGGCTGGTTTGGGGATCTGAACCCTTGACCTTGGTATTATCAACACCATGCTCTAACTAGCTAAGCAAACAGCCAGCCCCTACTTTTTGAATTTCTTAAAGGAAAACTTTAGTCATTAAGAAATTAGGGGAGCCTCACACTCTAGCCTTCTGCCTTCTTTGCTCTGCCCTGAAGGGATCCCCAGGAAATCAAGCGGACAGCCACGCACCTCTCCTGGCACCCCGATGGCAACAGAAAATTGGCAGTGGCATATTCTTGCTTGGATTTTCAGCGGGCACCTGTGGGCATGAGCCATGACTCGTACATCTGGGACCTGGGTGAGAAGCCGTGGGGCCCCAGTGGCCAGGGAGGGCTGAGGGGACAGGCAGAGGCCAGCACAAGCAGGACAGTGGAAGGTAGAGGCAGGGGGTCGAGGACACTCACAGGGCTGGTCCCTTCCGAGGGGGAAGCTCCTTGTCTCATCCCTTTCCTGTCTGAGTTCAGGTGCAGCTGAGCAGAGGCAGATCAGAAGCAGGGAACTGCCTTCAGGTCCAGATCCGTAATCTGGGGCATCAGGACCAGACCCCATGGGCTCCCAATTCTCGGTCCCTAAAGAGCATATCAGAAAGAGTCCCCAGCAGACTGAGAAGGGATCCAAGGGGAAGGGTAGGGGGACTCATGCCTTTGTCCCACCTTCCCTCACACTCGCCCTTAATTCACATCTGGCAAGGACAGTGTGTGCACCTGGGAGCACGGATCGCTGTCTACAGA